AACAAAGGAAGGGCAAAGACTAAGATAAATGGCGTTAAGTGGACATGGGCATCGGAGCATGATACAGCGTTCAACGGCCTGAAGGAAGCGTTATGCAATCCTCCTGTGCTTGGATATGCTAACTACAGTCAGCCGTTTGAGCTTCACACCGATGCAAGTACCTTAGGACTAGGAGCCGTTCTATATCAAGAGCAAGATGGACAGTTACGACCTATTTGCTACGCCAGTCGAGGATTGAGCAAGTCGGAGAGGAATTACCCGGCTCATAAACTGGAATTCCTGGCGTTAAAATGGGCAGTTACCGAAAAGTTCCATGACCATCTATATGGACAGACATTCACCGTTTTAACGGACAACAACCCGCTTACCTACGTTTTGTCGAAAGCAAAGCTTGACGTGACGGGGCATAGGTGGTTGTCCGCTCTAGCGGCATACAACTTCGATATTAAGTATCGACCAGGACGGAACAACGCGGACGCAGACGCTTTGTCACGGTTTACGGGATGTAACATATCATCAGAATCTGTCCAAGCTGTCTGTAAAGGAGCAACGTTTTGTAAAGGTTCATTGGTGGAAAGCTTGAGCCTATCAACAGAGGTATTGGATATGCTTGACGTTGATGACGAACATGGTTTCCAAACCATGACACCCCACCAGTGGCGAACTCTTCAGACGGAGGACGATGTTATAGGGGAATGGCTACCCATCATTAGGAGGAATCTGAAGCCAACACGGAAGAGGTTTTCAGCTATACCAGAAAACGCAACCCTTAACAGATGCTGGGATAGCTGGAAACTGAAACGTGGTGTGCTATATAGACGGGTATCTGATGGTGAGACCGATGTGGACCAACTTGTACTTCCGGTTGCCATGCGAGAGAAGGTCCTGACGTCATTACACAATGACATTGGCCATCCTGGAAGGGATAGGACGTTATCTCTGCTGAGAGATAGATTCTTTTGGCCTGGTATGACCAAAGATGTGGAAACGTGGTTGAAGGAATGCCAGAGATGTCTACTCAGGAAATCGTCGACTAGCATTAGGGCTCCGTTAGTCAACATTGTTACCACCCAACCTATGGAGTTGGTATGCATGGACTTCTTGAAACTAGAGGCGTCTAAAGGGGGGTT